TATATATACATATATATATATATACACATATATATATATACATATATATATATACACATATATATATATATATACATATATATATATATATATATATATATATATATATATACATATATGTATGTAAAGGACTCCGTGTTGACAGTCAACAGTCAAGCATAATCAAAATTTAACGACGAACGTAAGATCTTTGAACGGTCACGTATTTGACCAGTGAAGTGGCCCGGAAGACCTCGACATCTGTCACTCTCACTGATCCAACAAACAAGCGCTTAATTAACGTATTGCGGCAGAGACATTACAATCCGAAAAAATTCTCTTACATAAAATCATCATCAGACAAGACTGAAGAATGATGTTTGCACTTGATGATAGAATGATACTGCAGCGGAAAAACATCATAACCTCGAAAATCTATCTCAAAAATCATATTACCAGACGGGTGCAGAAGAATCAACACAAAAGAAAGCTTATAATATGACCAAATGTTGGAAAATGAAGACAAACAAGATAATGTACTATCTCATGTTTTGAGGATTCTTAGTAGACAACTCTGTTGCATAAACAAAAGCATAGCAACCAGATCAAAAGAAACCGTGCCACACTCGAGAGGGATCGAAGCTGTGAATACCAGCATAGCATAAACAGTACACACCTCACGCTGGCAACAGCTAAATGGGGATAACGGTTACAGCACAACTTTACACCTCAAAACAAACAGTATGAATGAAGACTGTTGCCAACTCGCAAAGGTTATCCTCTTTGAAGAACTTGAGAATTACCATTCCGAGAACATCACCTCCTCCATTCCACTTGAATTGCCCTCTCTGTATTATTGTGAAACATTGGGAAAAATGAATAATAAAAAAAATCAAGAACCAAGTAATGGTTACACATCATCGTTTTTAACGGAAGAGGCATACACAATAATTGCAAGAATGAAAATTAAAAAAATCTCAGTGAAACCCAATCAATTACCAGGTTTCTCTTCTCACCAATTAGGAAAAAGCTTGGTTGGTTATGATTATTACACGTCATTTATTGAACAAAAAGGTCTCCCACCTTCCAAAGACAGATAGGCACTGCACTCTCTTTTCACAGGAAAAGAAGGAAAAAAATGCATGAATACAAATTTTGATTAGCCGTGAGGAGGTCATCATGTGCATGCATAGGCCTCAGGCGTCTTAGAACAGTTGGTACCGATGATTGCTACAAAGCATGTTTGCAGGTTCTGACATCCAACATTACAAGAATTCTTCTTTGCTTCAAATATGGGTTGCAGCCATAGGTCTAGAATAAAAACAAACCTGTTTTGCATTCTTCCAGGAATGCATGGGGGAAAAGTATTAGAAAACTAGTTTCGTACTTCTGCTCCCACTTCCCACATAAGAGTGTTCAGATCACAACGCCAGGATGTTGTTGGAAGCAGATGGGAGGATGGCAATCATCAAGTATGCAACGAATGTGGTGCTTGGAAGATGAACAATGAAGTGGTTGAAGGATGAATGATAATGGGCACATGGTCAGATAACAGAGTGGTGGCTAGAGAACATTAGATGGTAACAGGAACAGTGGTTGAAGTGAGGATGACGAACTGCGAAGGTGAAATGTAGGAGGTAGACAGGAGTTGCTTTGGATACACGGGTCAGAAGAGAAACAGGAAATGGTGTCCACAGGCAGCAGAAGATAACATGGGCCAGAAGAAAACCAACAGTCTAGGTCTGAGGAAGAGACAAAAGTGTTATCTCACTCTCCCTCTCAAAAAGCACAGTGGAAAAAATAAAACAAAAAAAAATCTGGTGGGATCAGGCATTTTCATGGAGTCAAAAAAGTTTTCTATCTGGTTGACCCAAACAACTAACCGAGTAACCAATCCTAACTATCTGTGTTTTTTTCCAATCCTACTTAAATTTCTTCATGATTGGATCCTATGGAATGTAGCAACTAAACAGACCCTGAAGACTGGATTCCATGCAACTATAAATGCCCCGGCAAATTAATTCATGAGAGCAAAATGGTTTCAGAAAATTTAATACATAAACATAAGATGATTCGTATCAAAATATGTCCGAGCAAGATGACAAGGAATGGAGTCATACCACTACCATCTCTTGATGATGAGAAGGATCTGTCATTTCGAATCCCATCCTTGCAGCTTGCTTGGATCAACTTATGTGTGCGCGGTGATTGTGAGCTTAACTTCCCATTCATGGAAGAAGGCAGAGAATGACGACGAGTGATATTATTTCTTTCCAATGAATCAGATCCAAACCTCGGTGAAACTTGTCCTCTTAGCTTTGCCTTAGCTGATTCAGTGGTTGCCATGTAGCTTGGCAACTTGGGAGCATTCTGCAAGGCATTCTCTGCTAAAGGTTCTGGCTTTGATGGGAAAGAGACCCTCCTCTTGCTACTCTTCTGGATTTCATTGCAACTCTGATTATCTTTCGAGCTTAGCTCTTCATTGCAGATATCTTCTGATATATGCAATTTGATTGCAGGACTGTCGACAATTTCTGGATTCATAGGCCCATCCAAAGCTACCGAATTTATGGTAGCATCGAATTCACAATTACTGTCGAGAGGTGCCACACCTTCATTTTTAATTTTCATTGAAGATTCCTCGATACTGTGTTGTGGTACATCAGATAATGAGGTTGTCACCTTCCTCGGAGTGCAAGCTGGTTTCTGATTTTCAGACTCTGGCTTTTCGGAAGCCTCTTTGGTAGAACTAGATACCTTTCTCAGACTGCGCTTGACCTTTTCAATTTCAGATTGTGGGTTTTCCACCATAGAATCAGCAGGAGGGCTAGGCATTTTCCTCGGGTGGCGTTTATGCCTCTCTGGTTCGGTCATGACATCAACCTTTGCAGGCACATTCCTATGAACATTTGGTTTTAGTCTGACTGATTCACTTTCCACAGCACTACTGCACCTCACCCGAGATTTCACATTTAAGGGCTTTTTTGGTTGAGGAAGTGGCTTCCAGAAATATGAGGATGTCCAGCGCTCCAGCCAACTGAAGACTGAATTTGGTTCCGCTGGATCATAATGCATCTGCAATGGTTTTGCAACAGGCAGTGCAGAAAGAAGCTGTGCAATTGCAAATATGTTACACACTTGTCAAGAAAAAAAAATAGTAACCCTAGGTGCCACGACATTGGCTCACATGAATGCAAGTGCATATAGATCTGCTCTTGAAAACTTTGCCTTCTATTCGGACAATTTTGATCCAAAAGAAGTTAAAACCCTATGTCTCTCAAAAAGATATCATATCATGGATAGCAACAACATGATTTTTTTTGCCCAAAAATATGATGAGGTGAAGTTTTCCTAAAAAATTATGATCTCATGATATTATTGTAATCCTAAAAGATATATAGTTTCCCTACCTGGCACAAAAATCGGCTGGAAGACAGCTGCACTTTTGAAAAGTCCAACTTCTTGTTATCCTACAAAAGACAATCACCATACTTAAAAAGAATCGAGTTTAGAAAACTACGAGACTGCAATAGCTTACGGTGAAAACTCATATGTCATAAAATTTATGCAAACAAGGAGGCTGGAATTTACAGAATAAAAGAAATGGCAATAAATTAAAACAATCAAAGAATCCCTTAAGAACTAAAATCCATCAACAGATGCTTACCACATTCTTCACTCGACGATACTTCGTTCTAACTTCAAGGCCAATACCTGAAAGCCTGGCTCGCTGACCTCGGACAAGAGCTTGAAACTTAACAATGCCCCACGTGCAATGGAGGGTGGCAACTGCTTGTCGCCTCACCAGGTGCCCACGAATTAGAGCCTGCAGTCTTATAATGCCCTTCAGTGCACAAAACGCCCTTCGTGACTGCAAATAAATTCAGATATTAAAACAGAATAAAGCAGATAACCCCATTCATTAAGTGCTCCCATGTGTTCTGCATTATGCATATGAAATCAATTTTTAAGAATTCAAGAGAAGGGTTCAAATGATCTCAATAGAAGTGTGTATGACACCTGTTACCAAGAGATTTTACTATAGATGATGAAACAGGATCAATAAAAATTGAGGAAGCACATAGTAGATGCAAACTGTACTTATTCCACAAGAATACCAGAAAACCCCTGAAGGCAGCTTGAACTTTTGTAGCAGCACACTCTTCCAAGACTTGGGTTGCATCACTTGAAGCATGAGGTCCAACATTTACTTGGTTCTGCAAACTTTGACTTAAAGGAAACGTGACAGCTCCAGTATTGGAAGTCGAAGCTGTCCTAATTTCTGATGATAGACCACTTGAATTGGTGTTTACTAGAACTGGTTCAGAAATCACTGGAGAAGTCACAGCAACAAGAGATGGTTTTTTCCCAGCAACATGCACTTTTTCAACTGCAGCTTTCTTCAATAATACATAAGAACATCGGAGGATCAGTTAGTGATCAAGCACTCAAATATAGTAGATTATACATGATGTGCTTGTGCAGATAAAAAACTTAGTAAAACAAAGTTCAAAAGTCTTTCCAAAGAAATACCTCACAAGTGAACAAGCTATTTATTTTTACGAAATAAATTTATAAAACTCACTTTGTTTTTCACTCAACCTAACGCCTCTATCATGGCTTCTCCTAAAACAAACTAAGAGAACTCGTCTAAAAAGAATTTTCTTTTATGAAAATCTTGTAATCACATGAGTGCTTGCTTAAATAGACCTCTAAAGCTCTCTAACTACAGGTCCTAACATTTAAACTATCTTCTTAAACCATACCATATTCAGTAATACAACTGGAAAAAAAAAAATCAACTTAAAACATGACCCCAGCATATTCTTAATATAACAATCTATGGACAAGGATGAATATTCATCCTACTCCTCGACTTTTACTAAATCCTACACCTTGTCATGGCATAATTTTAAACTAAATGATGCTCAAAAACCTAAGCCATTCATCGAAAATGAATTGACAAAAAAAGCCGAAAAGGTGTATATGAATGAATCAAGTAAAGATAGTACAAGTTGTGGCTGTGTAGTATAGTCCAAGGCTCTACGGTATTTCATTGCATATATGTATCTTTTAAGCAGTTGCAGTAGTGCATTTGCGCATGCAAGGTGATTTAGGTGTGTTTTATATCAAGATGAGAAATTAGAATTAAGTACAACCTATTTCCCAAGCAAGATTGCACACAGATGAAGTGAAAGTTGCAGCATCAACCAATCTTCTTCCCCTTTCCATCTCCCTCCCAAGAAAATGAAGAAATCCACCCCTTTTACACTGCTTGTCTCTGAGGATATTAAAGCCCAGGTTATCATGATTCACCAAAAATGACCTTCATAGTTTTGGCTAGGGCTCGTAAAGTTGATAACTGACATCTCTCACACATATAATCACCTCACTTCTCTCTTTTCTTTCAACTCACACCATTACTGCAATCTCTACAATTGGGTAGTGTCTCTTGAACCTTAGCAGAGGGAAGCATCATCTCTGCAGCATGCACTGAAACACAAGAAAACTCACTGACATTCTTATACCTTTATATACATTAATACATATGGCAATCTGTCAGTCACTTGCGTTGTTTTTGGTATCGTCAATCCTCATTTATATGCTTCAGTGATTACATATGTTCATTGAGCTATATACCTTTAAGAAATATATATCCAACATGAAATATCTCTTCAACTTCCAAATTAACTTATTCCATAATCATGTACCAATTCAACTGAGTAACCTAGCCATTGCACAGGTAACAACCACACAAATTAACAAAAAAGAACAGGAAAATGATAACATTTCTATGGTAACAACCACACAAATGTGTTTCACTACCGAGCAAAACTTTCACAGGAAGAGAGCTAGCAATGAAATTGACCAATTGCAATAACAAGTAGCAAATTAATGTAGTTCATAAAAAAACCCAAAGTCCCAGTTGCATACTGAGCAATCCTTTGCTTTTGATGTATGAGATCTAGAAGCTTTCTTCCCAAAAAGCACCGATTTAATCCACTTTGCAGGAGATTTCCCCATCAGGAAAACCTAGCTTCCTAAATTGCAACTGCATATAAATCACACAGTAGACATAAGACGAGGTAAAAGAATTCTGACCATTTACTAATATTCAAAATAAATCAAAATTGACCTCATCAGTGCCTATTGCACTTTCAATTGAATTAAACACATTTCATATAAAGACAATTGTATTCCAGTGTTATAGGAACAGTGATAAATCAAAATATTTTTTTGAATGGCTGTAAGAATTTAATCGCTTATTTACAAAATATACCTGAAACAGCAAATAGATTTCGGCGCAAAGATCGATTTGGGAATTTTTTTTTTTTAAATAAGATAAAATTATAAAATAATAGCAACTGGACTACGCCCACATGAAAACAAATAGAAAACAACCAGACGGTAACTTAACCCTCAACGACAGAAACACAAAACCCTAATCCCCTCCTGCATCAAAGCACCAAAATAAAACCCTAAAATGCATATCCTTCAGGATCGATCATAGCCGAGAGAGCTCACACTGAAATCCAAAGGCGGCAAACCCAAATCACGACCAGAAATCTCCTACGAATAAGCAACAAATCCCCTGCTCAAGTCCAAAGCTCTTCGAAAGACACCAAAAAGGGAGGGGAAAAAAATGATAGAAACGTCGAGATAGAAATGGAAAAGGTCGAGATCAAGCGGATCCGATGCTCACCGAGAAATCGAATGAAGCAGAACTTAAGATGGAGCTCGGAGGCAAGACTAAGGGCAGATGAAGAGCCTCCTTGCGAAAGCGTTGCGGGAAAGGCAAGCGGCGAAGGGTCAGTGAGCGAGCTCACAACGGAGAGTACGAAATATGAGCAAAAGCTAAAGAAGGCTAAAAATAGAAGGCGGTGCCGTTGGGAAGAGAAAAGTGCCGTTAGAGGACATAAAGTAAAGGCATTTTAAATGGCGTAAATTTGACTGCACACGGCTCTGCGAATCCTCTGTATCACGCCAACCAAAGTTTAGGGTTTTCGTTACATAGTTTCTTGGGACCCCGTCGCAAGGGATGTTTCAAATGGCGAACAATACTGAATTCTGCTTGGTCTGATACAGATAATCCTCATTCCTCTCGGACTTCCCCGCTTACTGCGGTCTTTCATTTTTAGCCCGCTTATAGCCTCATGTCAAGATAGATATTTACGGCGCTGCCCTCGATTTCAGGTCCTGAAGCGGCCATCCACAGCGTTCGATGGTTCACCGATGGATCTAAACCGTCCATTTAGTGGGCGTCTGACGCAGTGGGGCCCGCGTTCAGTCACGTGTGCCCCGGAGACCAGACGAAGCAATGATGTGCCGCGTGCCGGCTACGGAACAAAGTAATTCCAGCCGCGCTGACAGGTGATCCTGTTGCGTGTAAAAATAGCAGCAATCAGATCTTTTTTTTCTTTTCTTAGAAAAAAAGCGAATTCCGGAATTTAAAAAAACCAATATTATTTTAAAATAGAGCTTTTTAAATTTTTTTAATATTAATTTTTTTTATAAAAATTAACGTCTCAAGTAACGTCTGTACCTTATAAAACTCTTATAAACATCACGCTTATACCTTCACGAGTAAGCTAATCTTGTCAACCATTTACAATACGTCTGAACGCCTTTACACATGGGTCTGTCGGTGCTTATGACAAGTGGTGAAGGTGGCTAGGATTGGTATGGGCTCTTGTGATGCCCTTGGAGTTCAACAACAATGTAGAGGAGGAGACAATGATGAAGATGGAGGCAAGGCTAAAATGATATTTTTATTCACTGCCAATGCTATATGAGAATTTTTAAAGTTAAAAGAAGCTACATAGGAAATTCTTAAAGTTAACTTTAAAAAAATATTTTTTTTTTTTATGATTTTTCTATAAACTATCATTGTTTTGGGTATTTTCTAAACAATACTCCCTCTTTTGATTTTTTTTTCTGGATAGTACCCTTAATTTAAATATATCTAAGTTGCCCCTCATAATTTTTTTCATGTGTTACAGTGTTTTGATATTTTACCATGTTTTCGATCTATTATAATGGTTTAACCATCATAATTGTAAAGCTTATTTATAAACACTATAAATGAGCCAAATGAAATCATTTGATATATTAGAAACCATTTGATATATGATTCAAATAGGTACTTATAATAGTTTAGGAACTAACATCACCCAAATAAAAAAATAATTAGATTATTATAGTGTTTTTATCACCACAATAAACGTATTATAAATATTATTGAAAAACACAACAAACTAATCAAATAAAACACTACAATAGTGTAAAACTAGTAAAAAAAGATAGAAAAATTTACCATGAATTTTTTTTAAGAGTAATTTAGATATTTTACAAATTAGGGTCATTGTTTGAAAAAAAAAAATCAAAATGGGGAGTACTAGTTGAGAAATGCCCAAAATATTAGTATTTTATAGAGAAATAGTTTGTTTTTTTTTCTTTTTCAACTATTATTATTTGATCCATTTAAATAAAATGATACATTATTTAAAACTTTGAAAGTTTTTACTTTTTTGCTGAGTAGCATTTTTTATTTATTATTACATAGCATTCCTTATTTTCTAAAGGATCCTTATTTTCTAGAAGATGATATTACTCTTGGCCTCCACCCGTTAGCCACCACTTTGTCACTTTTGCCCCTCATATGTCTTATGCCATCCTCCATCATGACCCTAATGGTTATGGTGTCCTTGGCTTCCAATGGTTACCATCGTAATCCTACAAGGAGATCAATGACAATCCCTCCTCACTCATATTTCTTTTATCATTTGTCACACTATCATGACATTCGCTTCCACCCCCTCATCATTACTCGATTAAAGAAGCAACTCCGAAAAGGTGGTGTGGTGGACTATGACAACAAGTGTGGTAGACGGATGAAGGCACATGTGTGATAGACAGATAACAACAAGAGCAACAACGTGGAAGCGACGAGGCATTGCCATGACATAAGTGAGGTAGAGGCCAATGTAATATCATTTTTTAGAAAATAGGGAACACTCTATACAAATAAACTAAGAATTATGTATTTTACAAGAAAAAATTAAAAAATTAGAGCATTATTATTATAAATTTGCTTTAAATAAAATTGAATGACATTTAATTCAATGATTCCAAATCTCATCCAATAAATTTTATATTTAAAATAAAATTTTAATCACATCAAATATAAGATTCAAATTTTGATGGATAACTCTAAACATCTAAAATATTGATTTGTTATCCAACTAAGCTAACTGTATATACAACAACAACAATGACAATTTTTCGAAGATGTCAGCTAACTTAGTCAATAAAGACTTTAATAATATATTGTAAGACTCTATGTTTAAATCCCAAATTTATCACTTTTTTTAAATATATAAAATAATAATTATTTTATGGTCAATTGCATAAATTTTTTACCTACATAAAGCTCTACAAAATATCATATTTTAATTAAAATAAAAAATATTTTAATATTTTTATAGTTTCTAATAAAATATTTTTAGGTCTCCCTTTACCTCTACTCATATCAATCATGCTGAATATTTCTCTCATCTTATCTTGGATCATTCATAAATATTTTTTTATATTCCTATAACTTATCATTTAATTTTTTTTTAGTTTCTAATAAAATATTTTTAATCTCCCTTTACCTTTACTCATATCAATCATGCTGCATATTTCTCTCATCTTTTCTTGATCATTCATAAATGTTTTTTTGTATATTCCTATAACATCTCACATCACACACAATTCCCATCTATCTTTTTGAATTTTACTTTATGTAGCTTCTCATTCATCCAATTTGGCGATATCCACAGTTCTACTCTTCGTATTACAAAACTACACCTTATGTATGCAATTAACCACTTATCTTTATTAAGAAAACAAAGAAAAATCAATTGTAATCAGAATCCATTATAATAGATAGGTATGATGAATCCTAAAAGGCAATTCATTAGAATTGAATAGTAAAAGGACAGCGAAGAAAGGTAATATTGTGTGATTGAAAGTAAAAATTAGGCCAATACTATTTTTTTTTTATCTACTTCCATTGTTTTAATCCCATAGTGACATGTCTAACATACAATACCTCTAATATAAATGTTTCTTTAAAGCTCATCATATCACCCAAAAAAAAAAAAAACAATCTATGGTATTTGCACCATACAGTTTATAGGACTTCTATGATCCACATGGGAGGAAATTATGGTCAAGAATAATGCCAAACAAACTAGATGCTGAGAAATATTGCTTGTTCATGAGCTACAATTCAGATATTAGTCAACTTGGCTTATGATATCACCAGCCCACTTCTTAATATCCTACAAAGGCTGACACAATAATTTTCTTAGGAGTCCTGCTGACATTATTATATTGTATAACAATACCCTTCTCAGCCACAGAGTTCAAAACATGCAGTTACGAGCAAGAACAAATACTGCAAATAGTAGCTACTAAGCACTTACACTCGACTGCCTTCAAGTATAGTACTTAATTGCATACGACAAAGAAGTCACAGCGCATCTACCTCCGCCTAGACTTCAGAGAGACTTAACCGGGCCCCACTTCCGCGTCGGGTAGCCGTCCGTCGCGTCACTTTACCACGAGGATTAGTGGCGCGGGAGAGTGGCCCCCGTACGCTCCCGACCGTTAAAATCCACGTGGCGGAAGAGGAATGCTTTTCTTACATCCGGAAGGCCTGCTCGTATTCTGACCCAAACAATCATGACCGTCGATCACCCTCTTTGATTCGTTTCCTGACGAGGGTGTCGGTTTGGGTTACGACGGAGAAGTGTCGTGAAGCACTCTTCTTTTTCGTTCCTATTTTGAATCCCCCAAGCCGTAGCCCATTCCCGCTCAAAACCCGAGTTCGAATCCAAAAGCTTGGGCCCCAGCACCACTTCCGCTTTCCTCAATATAACGGCCCCCAATTAGCATCTCGGTCACTCTATTCGTCCTACAATCGCAATCCACGCATCCGTAACTCCACACGCCGCAAGGGAAGAAGCATGCAAGCCGTCGGCGATCAATCCGCCCGCCAGGGTAACTCTCCGATCCACCTTCGATGATTTCTTTCTCTTGATCTCGTCTTCCCTTTTCTATTCCGGACTTTTTGATGAATTTTCTGGGTTTGTAATTAAGCCCCCGCGGTCATGGGATCATCGAAGTTGCGATACGCGCTGCGATCCGCCGCAAGGTCCAAGGACGGGAAGCCGTCGGTTCCCGAACCTACTGTCTCATCGGCTCCAAAGAGGTTTTCCCCCCTGATGCTTATTGCGCTTTTGGAATTTAATTCTTTGCTTAGAATTGAATATGATTAGTGCTCATAACAGTAAAGATTTGGTGGTGATTAGCTTCAATTTTTTGATCAACATGAATTCATATGGGTTTAACCTTTAGGCACGGTAAAGGAAAAGTATCTACCACAAGATTGATATGACTCACAGACCGGATTAATAGACAAGATGATGTTTGATCTCAATATACTCTATATCAGATGATGTTTGACTTTAATTCAGCAGCGATCTGCTCTCTCAGGCTTCAGTTTTGAACATAGTAGTGGGCTACAGACAGTTTAGGACTTGATCCTCATGGTTCTGCCTGCAAATTTCTGCTTGGGCAATTGCAATACGTATAAGTTCCATTGTTGTTGATCTTGATATGTTTATGTTATGCTGAGTTGGCATTTCCAATTCAAATTTTCTTGTCACCTCCTAGTTACCGTTGTCATTAGCATTGCTCTCGTAGATTGCTTGTTACAAAATTTTTATTGCCATAATTACGCTTTTTTGTGTTATGATCTAAATTATGTACAACTAATAAGCATCTATACTGAATTTGGATATTTTGGGCTGGTGCATGGGAAACCAGAGTGATTCTTTTGCAAAGGAACTGTTTTGTCTTGGACAATGGCTTGCTGGTACAGAATAGAGTGCTACACATCAGTTTTGTCTATCCTAAATCAAAGATTTAACGTCTTATGCCTGTAATGAAGGCAATTCACGTTCTCAAGACGAGGCTTTTATTTATTTTTTATTTTTTTGAGACAAATTACAGACGTCAGATCCTCTATGGGAATAATTGAAAGTAGTGAAAAGTGAGTTGGATAGCTGGGGCTAGTTGGTATTAGATGTTGTAGCAAAACTTCTCTCTTTAATCATTGGATGGTGGGAGGACCTCTTATATGTCTGATCTAGAGCTACCAAGATATGTAGTAATTTGGAAAGTTAGAAGGAACTGTCTCGATTGGTATATTGAAGGCTTTTTAAATAGTTATGAATATAGCCTAGTTCTTTACAGGAAAAGGCTACGGACATAGAAGCTTCCTACATCTTGCAATGACGAGATCCTTGCTCTTCTCTGTACCCAGGAGAAACCATGTATACATTCATGCTCTTTAGGAAGTATGAAACTAGGTGACTATACTTTTTCGCATAGCGTTCAATCTTCTCTTGTTTTTTAGCTGTCATTAATCATTTCATTTACTGAACCATTTCATGCACTTTGAACACAAATTTACATGGGATTAAATTACCTATATTTTGTAATGACGATGAGAATTCCATTGACACTTGTATATTCTATATGAATCATTTCAAGGTTTTAAGTAGAACTGTCATATGAGTTCAGACTGCAAACGGTTCTCTTTTACCATCCATACTACTTAATGACTCCATCAGCTGACGATTTTGAGTGGGACTTCTTCAAGGAGATAACATGTTCGGTTCTTATATTTAAGAGAAGAAATGTTATGTTGCTAGCCATCTTCTTTGTAACAACTTAAGACTCATAACAGCAATTTATTTTATAGAGGAAGGTCATCTCCTGCAGTAAGCAGGAGTGTAAATGTTCTCGACCTATCAGGAAAGGACAAATCTGCAAAACCTTCACGAAGGCTCTCGATTCCAACCAAACCTGCTCATCCCCCTACTATCAAAAGCATGACTCCGATCTCAGAGGCTAGAGCAAGAATATCCAATATTCAGGGGAAGAGTGATACTCCACGGTCAGATATATCAAAGTCCATGACCAAGCGGAAATTCAATGTCCTATCATCTGTTTCTTACTGGTTAACACAGATCAAGCTGTCAGAGTCAGCTTCATGGCATTCAATTTCACTTGGTTTTTTCAAGCTTGCACTGGAATCAGGTTGTGAGGTAAGTCTTCAGTATTATCCTTGTGCTGTTTTCACCATAATCTTGTGATTATCTTATTTCATCAAGGAAGTTGTTTCTTGTTGCATGCTTCTGCTTTCATATGTATATTGTGCTTTTTCTTATTTAAAATAGTCTATTTCCTTTAATAGATGCAACTGTAATTTGACCTTGTTCTACACTAGATGAATCTACAATTGCCTTTATCATGTATGTGCTTACACTTCTGCATGTCGTTGATCAAATTTTACAGCCTTCCAGTCGAGTGCGAGAAGAGCTTAAATCATACATACAAAGGCATAACCTTCTGACTGAGCAAAAGGAGTATGTCAAAGACTTGCTTCAGAACTACAATATAGTTGAGGATTTGGACAAGTTAAATATTTCGGAGAGCTGCTCGAAGTTACCTGAGGAGGTGACTCAGAAGTCGGACAAGGACAGAAGCAAAACTCGAAGTATGAAACCCAAGTCATTAAACTCAGAAAATCTTGCTGTTGTTGCAAACTCAAACAATAAGGACATTATTCAAAGGAGACAACCTACATATAAAAACCGAGGCTTGTATTCCAAAGATGCAGTAAATTGTGTGCCTATGAAAGATACTAACAGTATTAATACTCGGAAGAATTCTCAGAAACCCAGGACAAAACCTGTCAACGAAAATACAGAAGTTGAGAGTTCACAAAATCCTACTGAAACAGGTAACAACATAATCTTCTTCAATTTTCTTCTATTTCATGCAATTCCATGATTTGGAAACTTAAGCTTTTTATTAAAAATTTTCCTAAGAAGGATTATGATGAGACGTTATTGAGCTCTATACTTGTTGTTTTCTAGACTAACATCCAAGTTGCATGTAAGAAGAATTTAACCACGAAGCTTACCCTTACAGCCCAACTCATGGTGTTCTTTCATTGATTAGTAGATCGCCATATAATCTGCATTTGTTAATATTACCATAGTAACTTTGCTTTTTTTTTCCTCCATTTCTTAGTTATTTGTTCATATTATTTTAGAAGGAAGGATAGCATTGTTGGTATTTAGTATATGAATATTGCCTACAAAAATCTGCAAAATTTTCATTACTTCGTTATTTGGTGTTTAGGTAATAACGCTAACTCATCACCTGTGGGGGAGACATTGCATGAAAACAAGGAGAATACGGTATATAAATATGATTTAACCTCTAGCGAATGTTGTTTGTCCATTTATTTTTATTCTTAATTGCTTCTTTCCTCCCCCTAATTATAGCATTCATTTGTTTGCAGGATGTCATAATTGAGGAAACCAGCTGTGCTGAAGAAATTCAAGTGAATTAAACCAACTTCATATTCAAATTTTATTGCCGAATGTGAGTATTGTGGTTTTTTAGTTTGTAAATGGCTGTCTTGATGGGTTTGTGAGTTTTATTGGAGACTTTTTTCTACAAAAAGGATTAAAGGAGAAGTTTGTCTTCTGAAATTGTAAGTGTGTTAATCGTGCTTGTAGTGTTTTGTCAAAGTGAATTGCAAATTTATTGTAGTATATTCTACTACTTCCTTTCCAATTTCAGCTGCCAACTTTTCGTTTTCTGGATAAAGATGTCTCATCTGCCTTGCCTTTTTGGCTTTTGTTCTTTCCCTGTTCTCAGACTTTCCAAGAAGCATTTGAATCATTGATTCGGTTTAGCCTGATAGATGCCTGCAGAATGCTGAGACCATGCTAGTTCAGATCATCGTTCCCTGTTCTAATCTGATCTTTCTTATCAGAATCAGTGCAGGTGTTGATATTTTACATCATAAGCCAATCTACACTTTTTCAAATTGAATTTGTTTTATGCAATTATATCTCAGACCAGAGAAGATAATGACACATGTATTGTGTTGCATTATATCAAATCACATCAACAAGCTAGGTCTTAATATCTTATTTGCAACAATGCATTTGCTCATTTCTCATATCTAGATGCGTGATGATGTAGATTCCTAATATATATATGAAGCATGGAGCATATGACAAGCATTGGCCATTAATTTGCACTGATGTAGAGATGACAGCAGAAAGGTCAAAATAAGCGTTTGTTCTGAGTTGGATATGATTTGATATGCTTATATAATTTACATGAGCAAATATAAAATAAATTCACATAATTTCACTGTGACGAAATGATATGCTTATATCGAAAATAACTCGGCCGATTAATCATCAAAGCAATGAGAATTCTCAGAAACATGGGGATCGTGGATTGATTCGTGAACACACTCGCGGTGAGCAAGTGGCTCTGATTGGAGCCCCCTGGGAGAATAACTTTTCCACGAGCATCCATGTGGAGGACACGTATTGTGTCGTGCACTGCCACGAGCAGAGGGAATTATAATCCTGACACACATATTTATTATGTGCATTATTTGTCGTACCGTAAACAGTGTGCACTTCCATTATTTACTCCTCATGTCCCATGCCAGTTCACCCCCGCAGGTGTAGGACTACACCTCACTGACATCCACCCAGTAATGCCGAGGACCACCGTGGCCTCACACCACCTAACCCAACCTTAAGACAAACCACAGGGAAGCATGAAAACACACATTCTGATGTCTCCATTCACTCTCACCCACTCCAATTATCCATGTACTTCTTCTCCCTCCACTTTTACTTTGGTAATGCAACTTTAACTGATGTCTCCATTCTCGTGGGTGTATGACAGTCTTAAAATTAGACTAAGTGTATATTATTTTTACTGGAAGGAGGTAGACCAGTTTGTGTCAAACTTGCTTTCAGATTACTTCTTCATCTCATGGAATATTTAGTGCTTATGATGAACACTTCACAAGTAAGCATTAGGGCATTGACTTCAATAAATCATAGCTGGATCTGCTCATCCCAAGTAAAAAGCATGGAGAGGTGTTTGGGGTCATTCTTGCTTTCAGGTTACTTCACTTAAGAGCTGTGCATCTCTAATTTTAATCACTGTTTCTTCACCAGTAAGATTTAGAGCATTAACTTTCACAATCCCTAGCTGGATCTACTCATCTCAAATGAATCATGGAGAGAGGAAGCCCTAAAGAGTACCACACTTTAGAACAGTCTCTTGGCAAGGAAAAAAGAGTCAGTGGAGTAAAAGATTGTATTAATCCAATCTGATTTCAAGCTCTTTCAATGATTAATGCATCCTTATTATCCTTTTTTTTTTGTATGATAGTACACAATCTGCATATATTCAAATAATCTTTAGCTACAAAAGAGCTGTTTACTGCAAGAACGAGAAAGAAATTTTGCTGATGAAATAATTTGTGCTGAATACTTTAATGTCAACCATCCCCAACCCAGAAAGGGAAGCCATATGATAATAGTACGGGGCCTCTCTGGTGGATGCTTCAGACCTGCAAACGTAATAACAGTGACTTCTCCATTGACAGACAACTCACAATTCCTTTCTTTGACGGACAAGAGGAGCACTTGGGTCAGGGTGGGAAATATTTAGTAGGTTGTCAATACTATTCCAAGACTCAACTTTGACTCTCTCTCTCTCTCTCTCTTTCAGAGATATTGCCATGGGGGAACATTGAATTCGTAATTGACTCTTCTAATTTCCACTACTGATGAATGACTGCTATTATTATACTAACATTTTGAGCTATGTTTAGCTCAAATGATTAGAGCCTAAACTGTAAAGTTAAATAAAAGATAAATAAGAATACTAATGATTAAAGCAATAACTTTGACAAATTGCTTTTATCCACTCTAAGAATACTAATTGTTGTGAGGAGTGATGATTTTTATAGATACATTTTTTGTTGCAGATACAATATTCGGACATTGCTGCTTTGGGACGATGCATATTAAACTTGCCAATTTATCTGAATCATTGGACGTAAAATTTGCCTTTTAATATTTTTGGTTTTGTCATATAATTCTTCCTCAGAGAGAAAATTAGAGAGAACAAAATCCATGGCTTCAGCTCTGCTTGGAGGAGTCGGTGGTGAGTCGCGGACGAGATGATGCAACGGCAGCAGCAAGCTGTAAAGTAGACACAAACACCCAAACGCGTAGTCCTACGCACCGTCATCGATCTTCTTCGTCTCTTTCCACTTCTCATTGTGTCCTCGCTCCCAAATCATCACTCGCCTCTGCTACGCCGTCAACCCGCACTGTGGGATCTTTCGCTTTATTCCATTCCACCATGAGATCGATCAACTCTCAGCAATTCGTTTCTTTGACTCCCTCGCTCGAGCTCACTTCGGATCACATCTCTGCAAGAAGATAAGCTTTCCGCTTCTTTCTCTTTCTTCTTGAGGGAGAAGGGGATAGTGCATGAAGAGCTCTCGTTGCGTCGGACGCTGAAGAATAAGCGCCAATAAAAAACCTGCTTTTGCGTTCCAAATCCTCATAAAAATGGGATTTTTATCGCTTTCGAAGCTTACCTCCTCCACCGCGCTTCTCCTCCTCCCCCTACTCTTCTTCTTCCTTGCCTCGGATGCCCAACAGCTGCCCAATTCCCAGTCCAAGACGCTGCTCCGCCTGCAGCGCCTACTCGAGAACCCGCCGGCCCTCGCTGGCTGGTCCCGCGCCACCGACTTCTGCTCCCTGCCGCCCTCCCCTTCCCTCACCGTCACCTGTTCCGCCGGCCGCATCGTCGAGCTCGTCATCGTCGGCGACCGCCCTGCCTCGCCCGGCGCCCCCAACGCCCTGTCCCCGGCTTTCTCCTCCGACTCCCTCTTCACCACCATGTCGCGGCTCCCCAGCCTGACTACCCTCTCGCTTGTCGCCCTCGGCCTGTGGGGGCCGCTCCCGGCGAAGGTGGACCGTTTCCCCTCGCTCAAAGTTCTCAACTTGAGCTCCAACTACTTCACCGGAGCCATTCCGATGGAGATCTCGACGATGTCGAGCCTCCAAAATCTCGTCTTGAGCGGGAACTCGTTCAATGGGTCGCTTCCTGATCTCAAACCCTTGGCTGCTCTCGTCGAACTGGATGTCGGTGGGAATCGCCTCGGCCCCGAGTTCCCATCCCTGAGTACTGGCATCGTTAGTCTTGTCCTCAGAAACAACAGGTATCGCGGAAAGATCCCGGCAAATCTCACGGCCTTTCATCAGCTTCAGAAGCTGGATTTGTCTTCCAATCGACTCTCCGGTTGGATTCCGCCATTGCTGTTTTCCCTGCCGTCAATCCACCACCTGGATTTGTCTGACAACACGCTGACCGGGCAAATTCCGTCGAATGTTTCATGCGGCAGTGTGCTCGGATTCGTTGATGTCACAAACAATCTGTTGGTGGGAGGCCTGCCTTCGTGCATGCGATCGAACTCTTCCAATAGAATGGTGTTGAGCTCAGGGAACTGCTTGGATGTAGGGGGTATGAGGTTCCAGCATCCGAATGCTTACTGCAACGGCGCAGCATTCGCGGCGATCTTGCCTCCGGCGAACAAGATCAGTGGATCTAAGAGCAATGTAGGTGCAATATTGGGAATTTCCGGGGGTGTCGTCGTCGGTGCAGCATTGCTGGGGTTACTCGTCTTCCTTGTCTTCAGGAGTTCAAGAACAGTGGAGTCCAAAGCAATTGTCTTGTACAAACCAGAGGCCGCAAAATCTTTGCCTCAAGACACCACAAAAACTCCAGCTGATGCAAGTAAGGAAATTAATCGTCAAACTTATAATGCATATATTCTAGAAACAAACTATATATTATCATCACAAAAGTTTTTCTTCTGGATTACTTATAATTTTACTGTTATGTGATCTCATACTTACTGGATCAAACGGGAATCCTCGGTAAAGGGCATATGTCTGAGGCAGTGAGGATAGGAACTCTTGGGCTAATACCATATCGAGTTTTCAGTATGGAGGAGCTTCAGCAAGCGACTAATAGCTTCAATCCATCAAACTTGATTGAGGACAGCGCACGGGGACAGGTACAAAGTAGTAGTAGATTAAAGATGATCTCTTTATCTCTTCTACTGATAAGTTACTACTTTTTTCCTTCCATGTCTTGCACTGATGTTGAATTCAGAGCATGTTTAACTGGGATCAAAAAAAAAAAAACACTGTTTTAGTTGCCTTTTTTTACTTTGAATTTTTCCTGTCATCCAAGTTATTGATCTGTAGAAATTGGAAGATCCCATAAGCATAATAATATATTTGGATTTTGACCAACCTTATTCTACCACATACTAGTTCATTATAACGGCAGGTGAGTTTTAAGACATAAAGGCTGCAAGTTCTTAAATCATTAACTAAACAAGACCAAGAACATGTGTGTGCCATATATTAAGATATTTTGGCAAAGAAAATTACATGTATTAGTTTATAAATTAAAAAGCTATAAGGATGACTTGTGTCTTCTGCAGTTCATTTAAAGAACTTCTGAATGTTTGTTGTTGCCTTGTCATTTAGTGTAGAGAAATAAAAGCTCTGTTGAAGTACAGAATTTTCTTTTGGGCTTGCTGACTTGTGATTGTGTTGCTACTGTTCAGTTTTACAAAGGCTGGCTCCAGGATGGCTCCATGGTTACAGTGAGACGATTGAAATTGAATCCAAGGTTTTCGCCTCAAAACCTGCCTCAGTATCTGGATCTCATCTCAAAATTCAGACACCATCATCTGGCCAGCATTCTTGGCCATTGCATTGATAGCAGCCAGGATGGTATCAACATTACGACCATCGTATTTCTTGTTTCTGAATACATCACTAATGGAACTCTGAGGAGTCATCTTACCGGTAATGAGAATAGCAAGAATTGTACTGCTTCTTATATGCTATCATTCGAGTAGTTCATATGGTTCTCTCTTGTGCAGAGTGGAGGAAGCGTGAGATGCTGAAGTGGCCACAAAGATTAGCAGCTGTTACTGGGGTTGCACGGGGAATCCAATTCTTGCATTCTGTGACGGTCCCTGGTATTGTCGGAAATGATCTCAACATAGAGAATGTGTTGCTGGATAAAACTCTCACAGCAAAAATAAGCAATTACAACCTTCCTGTGCTGCCAAAGAACAAAAACAACAAGGTAGGGCAAGTAAAATTATGATGGCTGAGGTAGTCCTAGTTTGACCTTTGACTCTCTTTTTTGTATCTTTCAGATTGGTGGTTATGAGAGTCCCTTAATTGCAGTGGAGGATAGAGATCCTGGCAGGTAACTTGTCATTATCTTATCTTTAGAAGTGGACAATGTAATCAATAAAATTGGAAGAATCCCATTATGGATGATGTGGTCCTAGATTTGACATATATGAGATACAATTTACAAAGCCGACACACCTTGAGATTGTTATTTTTTTGGAGAATTTGGATGCAAATATAACACAAAATACAAAACAAATGGGAATTCATCCTTGCTGAAACCAAGTTGTTTTTCTTGAGCTTGCAGCATCTATGGTCTGGAGCATGGTGAAAAAGACGACATCTACCAGCTCGGGCTCATTCTTTTGGAAATTATCACAGGAAAACCTGCTGGATCCAAAAGCGGGGTGGATTTTCTTAGATCTCAGGTACATGGACTTCACTCGGTCCACTGAATTTGGCATCGGCAATCACTTTTTACTTTTGATCACACTATTTTGTGAAAACTAGTTCTTCCCATATCAATTAGCACTTCATAATTGCCCTATTTTACCTGTTCTGACTCTGAGCAACAGGAAGGAAAAACTTGCATAATTGCTAATATAGAAGTTAAATTTGTCAATCTTCTGAATTGGCACATATTTCACACAGAAAAAGTTCTTACTCCTTGTCAAAGTTAATTACTCATGAAGCTTCAACATATGATTAGTGGAATTCAAATCGTTCATTGTTCGCTTCAGCTGCAGAAGAGCTTAACAGATAGCCCTCCAGACCTGAGAGGCATTGCTGACCCGACCATTCGAGGCACCTTTGCTGTCGACTCCTTAAGAACGGCAGTTGAGATATCCCTCAACTGTGTATCAGGAGATCCAAACCAGCGCCCTTCGATTGATGATGTCCTCTGGAATCTACAATACTCGGCGCAAATCCAGGATGGCTGGGCCAGCAGCGAAAGCCTAAGCATCCAAGTCTAGTTCTTGTGATTCACTTTGTTATATCTGTTACATTGTTGATACTACTGTGGTTCTTCTGTTGTTTGAAAGAAAAAAGAAACTTTCAACCAGGCAGTGAAAAAGATCTTTGTAGATTTGCATGCACAACTCATGAAAGCCACTATAGTTGATTGGGTACAGATTGTGATCAAATGTTTAAATGAAATATAGGCTTTACTAAAATCCATACTTCAAATCTTTAATGTTTGGAGTCTTGTTGTTAGCTTATAGTACACATGATCTTGATATAACATACAGTATACCGAGTCGAAAAAAATTATGAAAAAAAAGGCAGCTCAATAACGAAAATATTTCGATTAGGATTAAACTACAAAGAAAATGAATAAGATAAATTTGAGTTAGATTGGTTGATATATTACTAATCCTAGATATTAAGTGTATGTAGCAGATACGAGGGAGTGGATTGTAATGCTTGAGCATCTACATACATACTCCAAGATGGTCATGTGTTGTGTGGTTCACAAACCCTGAGATTTCTCCTCAGATGATGATGAGGCAGAATGGGGTTGAACAACACCAGCGGTAATTACATTGTAAGTTTCAGCGATCAAACATATTTCCCCTGTCAATTCTTTGTAATCATTATCGAAATTCTACTTATTGAGTCACCATTGAGGTTTTGCATTTGGATCGAAGTATGACTCCAATTATTTTGAGATGATTTGGTGCTCTACAAGTTCACGAAAGCGAACTTGGTTTTGGGATATGAGTTCATAATGAAGATTAGAAACGAAGTCAAACAAGAAGATATTGTGAGAAAGAGAATCGTCATCTTCCGCCATGAAGTCAAACGATGACCTGCCGCCATGAAAAGATACCACCGCTGGCCATGGGAGGCGCAGGCCATGAGCGCGAACGCACACAGCGGTAGCAGTAGTAAGGTTGCCATTGCTCCCATTATTTATGATCTGCATTTGAGAAAGAATAAAGGAGATGGTGATTTAATGATCGCTTTCACCATTAAATAAATAATTACAAACTTATGAATGATTTAATGATCTGTTTTTCCCTTTTTCCCTTTTTGTTTCAAATTTTTCTTGATTTGATTCTTGTTAATTTTGTTTAAAGTTCTTTTATTTTCTTCAGTATTATTATTATTATTTTATTTCAATTAGTATGTGATTCTTTTTCTGTTAATTTAATTTATTTTTATAGTTTTATCTTTGTAACATTTACCTTCTTATTTATCTTTTATTTTTATTTTTATTTTTATATAAATTATTAGAGACGATTTGATTGATAAATACTTTGGGATCGCTTACTTAGTCAATTCGTAAAAAAATATTTTTTTATCTTTTAACCTACTTTCATCCCATCTTTCAACCCAATATTGTAATGGCGTGACATAATAAGGATTAATTATCTTTTATAGTTATAATATCTCGATTAGTCTCATATCATAAATAAGTAAGATTAAAATTAATTTATAGAGACTCGATGAATATATTATTATTAAATTTAATTTAAATATTTTGATGGATCAGCCCATTAGGCCCAAATAGCGGATCACCCAACAACTGCAAGGAGCCGTGGACGAGGTCTATCTCAAATTCACCGAGGTTGTGGTGGTGATCGAAATGGCTAAGAGTGGGAGGAGGAGATCTGTTTCTACGAGGGAGCGATCTGCGAGGTTTAGGCCGTCTGTGAAGCGATCTACGAGGCTGAACTCCATCGATTAGATTGTCACTTCTCGAGGTAGGTCTCCTCCACGTTGTGATTCTACGATTCGACTCGAAACTTTTTTTTTTTTTGTGCTTTATAGCTGTGATCTTTGCTTCATTGTTTGGAGAAACTGCGCTCTTGTTTCGGACGAAACGTCGAACACTTCCCGCGCATAAGCTTCTTCTCGTTGTTGCTGTCAAGAAACAGATCGAAACCCATATAGGAGCGATCAACATTACGTTGCAAGCTTAACCTTAGTGTAGATGATACGATTGACATGCTAGAATAGCAAGGTAACTCGGTTAGATCAAACAGTTTCATGTCGACATGCGGCCATGAGTACCTCCAAACTTGGCAACGCATGTGATTCTTTTGTCCATTCCTATCAATTTCCATCGTGCACATGCAGGTTGGAACATCTTGGCGGCAACGCGAAACTTGCTGTCTCGATGTCAGCAGACATCCCCAAGTGTTCGCCATGTCCGTGAAAAGCGCCGTGGAAGGTGCCAAGGAAACATATCAACCAACCAAAGGGCATGGCCTTACCCTTCCTCTCTTTTCCGACGCATAAGGACCTCATATAGGAGGACCAGGCTCGCTTGTCTTATTTCAACTCTTTGGTTCTCCCACTGGTTTCCTTGGGGTGGAAGCATACAGTTTGACCTTATGGAGTATAGATGGTGAAGGCTTTTGTGTCGTCTACAGTCAGATCTGCTTGCCTGTTGCTGTCTAATAGTGTATTCATTCTGTATGCTGGTTAGATAGTCCATTTTGTCAGGCCATAGATTTCAGTCCCCATTCAAACTTCTCGAGTATCCAAGACATGATCTGATCAATACTCTGTCGATTATTTGTGGATGATTTGATGTTTTCTTTTGTGGTAATGAGATCAAAAGACACACTTTTGTGGCACATGAAAGCTGAGGAGGCAAAGCTTTTGATTCATGTAGTACTAGATTTCTTCTCAGGACATTTCTCCAACTCAAACATCATCGAACGGACAACTCTTACTTGTCTTTAGGAGCTCCTAGGCAACTTTTGGTGGCTTAGCAAGAGAAAGACTGAAAAATCCGTAGGAACTGTGATATCTGTAAGGACTAAATTAAGTTCCAGTGCAAACTGTACAACAATGCCAAGCTAACATCAGACAATAGAACCTGCCAATTTTTGGTGAACATGAAGAAATCATTAAGCTTTCTCTCAGAAGATAAATGAAAAGAGTGGGGGAACAAAATAAAAATCAGAGGAGAATATGGAAAGAAGTACATTCGTCATCCATGATTCACAGGCTTTATAAGAGGCTGTTGTGCAGTCTTTCCCCATTCTTCTGGTGGGCTCTTCACTTCCATCAGGAATGCTACCACCTCTTTCATGGTTGGACGCTCCAATGGGGATGAGTTCACGCAGAACATGGCTATTCCCAGTGTCTGTAGCATCTCCTGGATCATCTGGTTGGGCATTCCTTGTAGCTTTGGGTCCAAAATATTGATTGCGGGTTCAAAGCTTGCCATTTTCTTCTTCACCCATTCCACTATGTGAAGACCGTCACCAACCATTGGCTCGATGGCGCTTCGCCCGCTTAGAATCTCTAGGAGGACCACACCGAAGCTGTATACATCGCTCTTCTCTGTTATATTTGTTGTGTAGCCATACTCTGTCACAATGATCGGCAAATCATCAATATATCTACCTCTAGGACTTGATTTAAGACAGGAAGTATGAGTAGTAGCAAGTATAGATAGTGTTCAGAAGGATTTGTCAACAGAAGCCTCGTTAAAGTTATGTCAGAGCTATGGGTAAATAATAACTTTTTTGAGTATTAAGGATAATGAAACTCTCTTAGTCTTGAAACTTGTAAGATCAACACGAGAGAATTTGAACTCAATAGCAGTAAGAACAACATGACAATTGACTTAAGATGTTCTCATTTATGCAAAGAACGAAAACTCACCATAAACAACATTAATGGGAACATCTTAATTGGAAAACATACTGAAGCAAAATTTCAAAGAACTGGCATCTTATCGATGAGAGCTTTACCTGGAGCTATGTATCCATATGAACCTGCTATCCTGGACATGGCATGGTGGAAGTTCGGTGAACTCATCAGCTTTGCCAAACCAAAATCAGCCAAATATGCTTCAAATTTTGAATCCAACAGTATATTGTTACACTTGACATCCCTGTGAAGGATGGCTGGGATGCAGTCATGATGGAGATATGCTAAACCTTGTGCCGATCCAAGTGCAATTCTATACCTTGTCTCCCAATCCAAATTCCTATTCTCTTGCAAAAGCTGTTGCAGATTTCCATTCGAGATATAATTGTAGAGAAGGAGCTTGACACACTTATTGGAACAATAACCCAGTAGCTTCACAATGTTGCGATGCCTGATATGCCCAAGAATCTGAATCTCGGACTCAAATGTGTCGATCAGTTCCTCTTCCTTCTTTGTTTTCCAAAGCTTCTTCACGGCAATGAGCTCCCCATTGGGCATCTCAGCCTTGTAGACGATCCCAGAGCAACCTTTTCCAATTACATTCTCATCCTTCAGGCACTGAAGAATGTTATCTACTGTAAAGTTTAGCTTCTGGAATGGGACGAAGGTCCATGGGTATGAAAACTCATCGGATATGGAGGATGATATGGTCAGTGCTTTTTCTGCCGCAAGCTTTCTGTTCCTGTTGACAAGAATCCATAATGCCACAAACAAGAGAGTGACAGAGCCTAAAATGACACAAACCAAAGCCACAGTTTTGATCGATCGAATAGCGGTTCTACGTATAAGGTCGGATGAACATGTGTAGCCATCAAAAGACTGACAGAGATCCGGGTTCTGAAAGTAGGAGTTGGAGGATAGAGTTCGAAAGAATGGAGTGACAGGAATTGGTCCAGAGAAATTATTGACTGAGATGTTGAGAGAAGTGAGACTTGTGAGCAGGCCCAAGACTTCGATCCCTCCACCGAGCATGTTGCTCGAAAGATCCAATGATTCTAACTGCATCAGACCAGACATCTCCTGTGGAAGTTCTCCGACCAACTTGTTGGAGCTCAAGTCCAAACTGATCGTCAGGCTTGTCAAGGAACCGATCTCGGGAGGAATAGGACCTGAGAGGCTATTACCACTCATATCGAGCAAGGTCAGCTTCTGCAGGTTCTTTATAGATGTTGGTAATAACCCAGTTAGCAGATTATTGTTCAGGATGAGCTTATTCAAGTAGCTGAAATTACCGAAACTTGCAGGAATTTCTCCAGTGAAGCTGTTCTCACTAAGGTCGAGCTGTTCTAAGTTCATCAGCTCTCCTAATTGAGGAGGGATTTCTCCGGTGATGTGATTATTGTGGACGTCCAGAAGCTCCAAGACCGTGATGTTCGCAATCTCGGAAGGTAATTTCCCAGAGAAATGATTAGTATAAAGATCCAGAAACACAAGATTTTGCAGCTTACCGATCTCC